AGACAGTTCTACGGTCAGGGACTTCTGCTCAAGGGTCTAAAATAATCTTTTTTACAGGCCTAGTGGCTTGGATGATGCTTGTGGACTGTAGTTATTTTATGGTAGAATGAGCTTCTTGGAGCAGTTCAGGCTTAAGGTACCCTCTAGATGTCTTCCCGTTGAGGTATTCTGGGCATGTCTGTCTTTAGATCCTGGGGGAACCCCAGGACACTACAGATGGATTTAGTCCCACCTGGCCTGGGAATATATTAAATTCTTGTTGGGGAGCTGGAGGACATGGCTGGGGAGACTGATATGTGTTATGGCTGGGGTACCTGGCTTAGTCTTTCAACTTTCAACCTTGACCCCACTGAGCTGCTTAAAATGCTGCTGCTTAAACTCTTCCACCATCTAGTAAGGAACCAAACGGCAGACTGGCGTTTACTAGAGTAGGGGTGGGACAAAATGTTGACACAGCAATATATTGTGGTCTTCTTGTGGGATACAATTATGGAATTGCTGGTGCCAAAAAATCAATATTAGAATTTACTTAACAAAGTGCTCTAAACAGATTTCCCTGACGATTTGACTCACTCCGTCTTTACTTCATGACTCTTCACGGTGGTATTTTTGACATAAAAGAAGGGCTAAAAGAAGAAGTGGACTGGACAGAGGGAAGTTGGTCAGTATAGTGAAAATAAAGTGAAAGGATGAAGAATGATAAGAGGTGTATTTTGTAGGTGCCTGTCTACAATTAAATGATTTGCTCAACATTATAATAGCAGTATGATAACTTTTGTTTACACACAGTAAACCTGAAAATGAAGGCAATGTTATCCCCCTAAAATAAAAGCATCTGAACAGCACTTGGCTCTCAGTGGATTAGGTCACTGAACACAAAACACAGTTTGTCTGAAGAAGGATGACAACCCTGTCATTTGACAACTACTCTTGTCTGACACCGCTTTTACCGATCTGGTACGGGGCAACCCTCTCATTTTGTTCAACCCCACATTAACTCCGCCTATGAGAGCATGAGCAGCCATTTGTAGAGATTGAGACTGACTCCGGTAAAACCCTTTGATTTTATGTTTTGAAATGGCTTGAAGGACTAATCTTTTTTTTTTGCTTACTCACAAACTCATCCCTTTACTTCAAATGTCTTAACAGAGTAGTCTTAGTTCTCCCTTTGTATTCATCTTCAGCTGTCTACTTGTCCTTTTCTACCCTTGCTTACCTCTCCTCCCCTCTCCTGCAAATCCATTAGGTAATGAACCAATACAGTAAATCACAGCAGCAGTTACTGTATGTATGACTAAAACGCCTTACGTAAGGGCGCCCTGCACTCGGCTAAATCAGCATTAGCCACAGCTATGCGGCATGATATATGTCTTATGTAAGGCAGTGTGAGGGTTACCATACTCTGAGTCCTTCACCACAGGACAGAAGTCTTGTTAGTGGATCTCCTGTCTCTACAGCATGAGAGCTGATTATGAGCGGGTCGATATCAGGGATGAGTGGCTGTATTGATGTGAGATAGTCAGGCTTTCATTCCCTCTGGCTGTCATAGCTCGGAATAGACAGGGAAAAAGAGTGAAACAGTTTGAGGGTAAACTATCAGTCAAACGCTAAAGCCTTTACAAACTCCTGTCAGGGTCTTCGTTATATGTGTACAACAGCTGTGTGTGTGTGTATTCAAGGCAGCTAATCTATGAGATCCCAACTTCGAGATGACTGTTCTGTGTGTGTGCTGCAGTGGTGCAGGTTACAAGTATCGTTTCTCCTCGAACACGGCTGAGAAAATATTAACCAGCTGTTTTGGACCAACTATGTTTGGAATGTGTGCCTTTGAATGCAACTGCTCTGCAAGGGACTATCATTACCTGTGCAGGGTGTGCCCATTAAATATCGCTGCTCCGCTCCACAGCCAAGCTGTCTCAAGAAGATAGAAACTGGCTGATAGTTCCTTTTGTGAACTAAGATTGATATCATAAAAGCAGAGTTCGACAAAATCTTGCCATACGCGTGAGGGGAAAATATGGCTCTCCGTTGACTTTGTGTTATGTGAAAGGGGCCTCTTGGTCAAATTCGACCGCAAGCTAACGCCAGAAAAATATCCAAAAGCTAGTGCATGGAATGATGCACTACGAACAAGGAGACAAATACCAAACCAATTCTGTCAACAGAAAAGAGATACTTCTATAAGGAGTCAGCAAGTAAAAATATGGGATCCTGATTATAATGTGGTGCGACAAACTGTAGAGGTAAAAGCTGAGCTAGCAATAAGAGTACATTTTTGATTATTGTTAATTTAAATCTATATCTTACCTAGTTATCTGATCATATTGTAAATGTTAAGGTTTACCACTTCTGACCTTTAAAGCTCCTGTGGAGAACTTTTGGTTTGTTTTGATTTTGGCGCCTGTATTGTTGGGTCTGATGTCTCTCTTCTTCCTACTAAGAATACCCAGTAGATTCTGAATGGGGCTCAGGTCAGGTGTGTTGGCTGGCCAATCAAGCAATACCGTGGTCAGCAAACCAGCTACTGGTAGTTTTGGCACTGTTGGCAGGTACCAAGAGCTGTTGGAAAATTAAATCAGCATCTTCATACCATTTTTGATAGCAGGCATTAAGTGCTCTCAAATCTCCTGGTAGATTGAAAGATGATGGCTTGAAATTCTAGATTGCTAGCGCTGGCTTCTAATTCGGCGCCTGTTCGTCTGTTGAATTGTTGTTACTGACATGTGAATGTAATTGTCTGAATGCTGCTGTGACTGTGTTTGTTTCCTTTATGTTGTCTTGGTTTCTTTCAATGACTCAGTAGGCTGTGAAACTGAATTGCCCTTCTGGGATTAATAAAGTTGTCAGAATCTGAATCTGAAGATTGCTGTGTTGACTCCGGACTTGATAAATCACAGCGACAAACACCAGCAGATAACATGGCACCCCAAATCACCAACTGTGGAAACTTTACACTGGACTTCTGACCTTTCATGGCGGCATTCAGCTTGTTTGTATTGTTGGGTCTGGTGTCTCCCATCTTCCTCTTCACAATTCAGGTCAGAAGCCATGTGTGAAGTCTCCACATTCAGTGATTTAGGCTGCCATGTCACCTGCTGATGTTGGTCCACTGGGTCCGGAGTCAAAGCAGACATCTACCAGGAGATTTTTAAGCACCTGATGCTTCCGTCTGCTGAAAAGTTTTATGGAGATGCTGATTTCATTTTCCAGACTTGACACCTGCCCACTGTGCTAAAACTACCGGTAGCTGGTTTGCTGACCATGGTATTACTGTGCTTGATCGGCCAGCCAACCCGCCTGACCTGAACCCCATAGAGAATCTTTGGGGTATTGCCAAGAGGAAGAAGAGAAACACCAGCCAGACCCAACAATACAGACAAGCTGAGGCCACTATCAAAGCAACCTTGGCACGCCACGTTAATGAAGCAACTCATTCAAAATGAGCCCGGTCCAAGTGTTAAGTGCCTGAGTGAAAATACTTTTCAGAAGGGTCAACTTTTTGTACACATACTTTTTTGAATGGTCTTATGGTATATTCTAATAGTTTGAGATCCTGTATTTTTTCATTTTTGTGAGTTGTAATCAGTAATGGGGCAAGACCAAAACATGGCTGATCCTAAAAGTAATCATCATCACTCGAACCAAAAAAAGGTTTGAAACATTTCACTTCATGTCGAATGAATGTAGAATATGTGAAAGTGTCCCTTTTTTAATTACATTTTGGGGAAAATTAAAATGTTTTCCCTTTTATAGACAATTGGCACTACTTTTATATGATGTGTTTGTAGGTGGAAATTTGTATTTTTCCAGTGTTTAGGGGATGGTTGCCCAGATTTGTATCTGTTATTGAGTGAGTATGATGCTTCTGCGCTCTGTCTATGAAACCACCTTATTGGGGACCGGCATCTGTTTATGCTCTCCATCTCCAAGCTTATGGGATTTGGCCTAAATCAACTTCATGGGTCACACAATACAGACTCCATAAGACTGGTATTATAGCATGGTGACTAAGCCACTTAGTCCCTCATGATAATTGTATATCTATACTGTATGTAATACCCAAATAGCTGGTACTGTTCCCTGTAAATACCCAAACAGATTCTGAGGGGATTACATGTCTAGGAATGAATGGTATGTCTGTCAATGACAGACAGCTTAGCTTACTCCCAAGAAAAATGGCCTCCAGATACTTTGGAAAATGAAAATGATTTTTTAAGCTGTATGCAAAATGGGGTTGGTCCATGATGGAAGTTTAACAAGGGCAGGTAATAGGTTGATGAGTTGAGATTAAGATATCTGAATGACGACTACCTGCAAGATGAATTATAGCCTTTAGCTATATTAGATTAAAACGAGTAATTGCAAAACTGATTTTTTTCCAATTCCCCACTTAATAAGATCACATTTTATTTAGCTTATTTTAGGCAATGAGTTGCCATTATCTCCATAATTTAAAATGAATGAGATGAATAATATTTAACGCTGCTTTTGGTGTCTTGCTGGTCTGAAGAAGTCAAGAAACCGCTTATAACAAAACCAGGAGTTCAATGTGAGCAGTCATAAGTTTAAATTCTCGTTTTTCAGTGAATTTTGAACACCCTAATACAACTTTACTTGTTTTATCTTAAGGGTGCGTGATTGGAGTAGCTATGAGTCAGAGAGCCTCATGATAAAAATCACTTTTAACGTCCTTTAAAGAAATCTGGCGGGCCCCAGTAGACCTATATGCGATTAGTCAAGCAGGTCTTTTCACTGCAACTGAGGTGGAGAGAGAGAGAGAGAGAGAGAGAGAGAGGGGAAGGGAGGGGGAGTACTTGGGAGGGAGGGGGGGGGGTCACCTTTTGTGCAAATATATCAACCAAGAAGACTACCACCAGCATCAGATTTCTGTGAGTGTGTGAGTGTGAGGTGGAGAGAGAGAGAGAGAGAGAGCGAGAGAGCGAGAGAGAGAGAGAGAGAGAGAGAGCGAGAGAGGGAGACAGACACTCCTTTGCAGAGAGAGAGAGAGAGAGAGAGAGAGAGAGAGAGAGAGAAGTCCAGAAAGCTTTGGAGCATTGAAAGAAGAAAGAAGACCTGCTGCTGCCGCATTTCCAACCCTTTTCCAACCAAAAACAAAGTGAATACTCCTCCGTGTAAAACTTCGTAAAGCCGCAATGGACGGGATAACATTTGGACGCACGTCGCTGCTGTGCACCTTGCTGCTGTGGGCATTTCAAGGTAAGTCTCTATGACACTTGTCGCTACAATGTTTAACTCAAAAAAATAAAAAAATGACAGAAAGTAACTTTATAACGCTTTTCAAACGGCGCGAGTTGGTTTCTAATGGCTTCATGCTACATAATATTACTTTCCTTTCTCGCTGTCTCGGAGTTACGCTGTGGGTACAAACCTGACCACAGTCTCTGGTCCGCACATGCCCCCGGTCAGAAGCGAACCAATTAAGTTGTTTTGCTCAACCAAACACTTTGTAGCTTGGGTTGCGTTTGCGTTATAATGTTCAGAAAACAAGTTGGCAGTCTGCATGTCTCGGTTTGTTCAGAAAATAAGTCGAGACGTGCTTTAATAAAGTGTAAACCCGGAATTCTCCCCACATAAGTCCGTTTGTTTTAGTTGGTGGGGAAAGAAACGCTGCAGAATCCGTCAGGTTGTGCAGTTCGGGTTCTCTGTAGCCTGCAGAGGGAACATTTAAGGGTTAATGGTGTGTGTTTGTAGTTTTACGCTGCAAGACTCAGCTCCGCACTTGACTGCACTTATTTAAGTGAGAGACTGCGGCAAGCCGTGAGTTCAACTGGACACCTCCTCCAACGCGATCCATCCTAATACAATCAGAGCATGTAGCCTATGCAGTTAGATTAAAACATAAGACTTGGATAAAGCCAAGTTCGGAAAATCCACGTTTCATCAGGGGAGAAGTTCTTTGATGATAACATTAAAAAAAAGGTTGTCCAACTACTTTGTTCCCAAACCTTTAAGAAATGATAAGCTCTGTTTTAAAACCCATGTAGCCCGTCTCGTCTAGTCTCATTCATGCTGCCTCGTCTGGCTGCTGCCTGGGTGCAGTTTCCAGTGCTTTGATGTCTGATCTGCAGGATTTGCGTCTCCTTTGCTGGCAGAGTGCCTCACCCTGAGCACCCCTGGGTGCTGCCAGAGAGACTAAGCCAATTTAAATTCAACCTGACTTAGGCCCTGTAAGAAGTTTGTCAAATAAATGATTTTTTTAATTTTTTTTTTATAACTCTCCAAAACTGAATATATAGGCCTATACTCATGTAAGGAGTTGCTGTGGTAGCTCTAGAAGTTTATTTTGGAGTCATGAATTTATCATGGAGATTTATCTCCCATGATTACCCTCTAACTGGTTTATGGCACCACTGGGGAGATTATGGTTTTACTGCAGGCTGTTTCATGGTGTTTTAAAAACTTCTTTTAGTGTCACCACAATATTTCAGTTAATAACCTTATAAAATATGTAATATATAACGTGTTTGATGTTGGCGCGTGTTTCATGAGTTTGACTTAAAAATATGTGAAATCCTCCCGAGCTTTCTACGTGTCAAGATGAAATTTCCCAAAGTACTTGTGGGCATTTTTTTTTTTTAGGTTATTACTAATTCGTTGCCTGTGCAGGCAGCCTGTGGTGGTTTGAAGCAGGATGAGCTGCAGGGCGGGGCTGGGTTGCCGGGCAACTCCCCCTTCTCTCTGTTCTCCACCTCTTCTTTTCTCTCTTGCAGAGCTCACTGCATCATTTTTTAATTCTCATTGATTTGAAGCTCTTTAACCAACACCACTGTTGCTTCCCTGATACAAAACCTGGCTTTTTAGCTTCTACATCTGAGTTAACTTCTCTTTAAGCCACTTCATTACCTAGATCTCCTTTCACGACCTTCCTGCCCTCAGAGACAGTTGTTGCGCTTTGCTGTCTGTCTGCCCTTCATGGAGCCTTTTAACAGGTGCTAAAAAGTGCCTCGTAATTGATGGATGCAGTGAAGATCACACGTCTCTACAGCTGTGTTGCATTGATTTAAAGGCTCAGCTCCAGGTGCTGACCTCGCCCTGTTCCTCCATGCTGCCCTGAATCTGAGGAGGGGAAAAAGTCATTATTTAACTCTAGTGCTAAAAATGTTGATTTCTGGGAAGAAAAACAGTCCAAAACCCTCCCTCTATCTCCACTTCTCTCTCTCTCTCCCTCTCTGCATAGTTTTGTCTAATAATAGCAGCTCTAGCTGGGTCTCACTGGGATTCTGTCACACAGACCCACATTCTCACAATTGCTGGCCACAGACTTGCAACTTGCGGCTATGTCACTTATGATCGTGCTTGTGCACTAAATAGAACCAGGGGACACGTTACACCCAGATGTGTGTCATCTCCTTAAAGTGTAGACACCATATGTCAAGAATGTTTCCCTGCAATTATGTATGTAGTTGTGACACATGGATATTGGGTGCATGATAGACATTGGCGCCCCAAGGTGCTCAGCATGCCTGTGCCTAGGATCGCTGTGACCTTTTGACCCACTCACCAAGACGTGTTGGTAAATGCCTCACACTCTCAGGATGCCATTTCTTTCTCTATTGCAGCACAGGCAGATATATATGCTGGAATTTTTATGGAATTTTAAGTGTCTCAGTCTCTTCAAGTAAGAAACTGTCTTTTCTAAGCCAAGTTTGAAGAACCCTCAAACCCCGAGAGGAAGTTTCAAGGTAACATAGTATGTCACACAAAGTTAGTGTTTTCTGGGAGTAAAAAAAACTTCACATCAACTGCAGCACTGCCTGAGTTTCTTCGTTAAACTTTGGTTTTAAGAGCAATCCCAAGGACAAAAAGAACAAAGTGACATGAAAGTAAAGAGACAAAAAAGAAAAGTCAAATGCTCAGATGAGTCTGATTTAAACTGTAGAGACTCCAAAGTGGTCTGAAACAGGTGGAGAGAATCGGAGTGACAGGCATCAGCTGACTTCAAGGTGTTCGAGTCTAACACGCAGCGTCAGCCTCTTTGTCTATCGCTGCCTTAATTCCCACAGTCATTTCCTCACTTTTAATTTCTGTCTCCCCCCCTCCTGCCCGCGCCGAATCAAAAGTTCACCCCCCTGCGGCCGTGTGTAATTATTATGGTATTAGGGCCAGAAAAAGAGGCATTTAGGCATGAGGAGATAAAAGCCTGGGGACCTCTTTGACAACTGTCCTGGGACGGATGGTGTTAGTCTTTTGCAAGCTTACACATGTGTGCATTCAGAGTTATGACTAGAAATGCAAAGGTTACATACATTCTTAGAACAACCACACAAACACCAAGAGTATTCTGTACATTGTGACGCTTACACATAGAGCCCCCCCCCCCCCAGCTTCATGATTCTGGTTGTTACACAACTCTGGAAACCTGAGCTCATATCGCAATGAGTGACAGATTGATGGGGGCTGCTTTGGGAGAACAAGTCCATGTTTGCCCCCCTGTCATTGTGCCTCTGGGGGAGCGAAGCCTTGGAATGGCATGGGCTGTAGTTATTGGGGTGATTCATCCCCCCTCTGTGTGTGTTTTTCTGTGTATGTGTGTTGGGAGGGGGGAGGGGGGGACAGTGAAGGAGTAAGTCACTGGGATGGAATGAGTGGCATTCCTGTGGACACGTTGCCGCTCGCTCTGTAACGTGTGTTTGTTTGTCATCACCGTCAGTTCTATGGAAAAGGGGCTTCCTTTTCTCGCTTTACAAACCCCGCTCTCACCACAAGTCACAGGCCGTAATCCACGCACAAACACGCAACAACAATGCGGCTCCTGTCTCACCATTGAGTGGCGGTTTTTACAGGTGCAAAGCAAGAGTTTGCCCCAGCCAGGGTGCATACTTGTGGTTTGACTGGGTTTCACTGGACCTTTCAACCAGGGGGCGCTGGTTAAACATTAGTCAGTTAAAATAGAGGGAATGTTATGGATGTTAGGAGGGCACTGAGACTGGGATTTGAGCTCGCCAGCCTTTCACACACCCACTAGTGTTCATTATTTGACATGATTGACACATTAAAGTCAATTCAAACAGGTTGATGGCATCCTAATGTTGGAAATTGAGCATGCAGGTGGCATAGATATGCAGCTGGGCTTCCTGCACATGGTTAATCCTGGTTTGAAGTTGGTTAGCAGGAGTGATTTGATTCACTGCGGAGCCAGGAGAAAGTTTATCCCCCCCCCCCCTTTTTTTTCATCCTCGTACCCTCACCGGAGCTTCAAAGCAGCCACACAAACCTGTGATTACACACACACACACACACACACACACACACACACACACACACACACACACACACACACGCGCTTGCTTGCTTGTGCTCTCATCTCTTTCCTTCTTGTCTTTGTCTGTCTTTTAACCCAACTTTTATTTTCTGTGTCCTTCTCAATGACACTAAGAGGTAATGTTTTTAATGCTAGTGTGTTCCTGTGTGTTTACTTGCTGTGCTGTTGTCTTTTCCTGCTTTGCTATTGTGTGTGGGTCGCAGTAAATAACCCCCGAGTAGCATCAGGAAGAGTGCCCCGCTGTGTTTTAGAGGGAGAGGGCTGTTTTTTTTTAGTTTTTTTTTATGCCCATTCCTGGTGCTCTTCCTCAGCAGATTCATGGCCTCTATTGATGATTTCAAAATAAAGCTTACCATCCTCCCCCACTTGGCGTGTACAGTGTATCTCCCTTTTGAAATAAATTCCACTGCAGTGTGGGCCTCCACCCTTTAGAGTTGTGGAAAAAGTTGAACACACATTATTGCCATGGACAGAAAAAAACAGAAAAAGCTTGAAAAGCAGCTGTTCAGAACTTGTTTAGGTTTGGTCTTTTTGCTTTGAGGATGCTCTCTTATCATTAGCGGCTTTTATAGGAAGGAAATGAAGGAGGCAGGGAGGAAGGGATGCAGGGAGAGAGAGATCAAGGGATAGGATGAGACATGATTACAGCTGACTATTGTGTTGCCACCGTGCGGCCTTGTTGTTCCTGTCTCGGGGGAGGGCGATGATGGTGATGGGTAATTTCAAATGCAGCCTTGAAAAGAGGCTCCGTGTGTGTGCGTGTGTGTGCGTGCGTGTGTGCGTGCGCGTGCGTGTGTGTGTGTGTCCTTGTCTCTTCATCTGTGTATGTGCTGGTGGTAGTGAGGTTGGTTGGTTGGCTGGTTGGTTGGAGGTGGGGGAGGCAATCAGGGTATGGAGCAAAATTGAAAATTCAAAAAGCTCTATGGAGAGATGA